TTTTTTTTTTTTTTTTTTTTTTTTTTTTTTTTTTTTTTTTTTTTTCTGGCTGGCTTGCGCAGGTGAAGCGTCTTTACGATGCATTCCACGAACCATTCAAGAGAGCGCCAACGGCTGTTCGGCAATCTCAAGCACCGCCAGAAACCGTCCCTCCGGCGGTTCCGGTGGCGACTGGTACTGCGAAGGGCTCTTTGGGTCCGGAGTCTACGTCGACCAGGGCTTAATAAGAGGGCAGCTCCTGTCGAGCCGGGACATATTCAAGAATCGGAGCTGACGTCAGCAAAGCCTGCAAGAAGTTGTGCAACGGATATGGAACACTCAGCGCCTGCCCCGTTGCGAGGTGATGACGGCCATGGCGACAGCAGCGGGGTCGTCGGTTTTGAAGCGGGTGCGCAACGGAAGACATGTGAAGAACTGGCGAAGGGACCGTTCCCCGCGCAAGAAGAGCTGTCCCTAGGAACAAAGGGAGACCAGCAGAAAGCCACAGAGCCAGTGCTGGTCTAGAAACTGTTCCTAGGAACAAAGGGAGACCAGATGAAACAGAGGAGATGCTAGTACCGGTACCGATGCTGGTACTGGTGCTGGAACTGGAACTGGAACTGGAACTGGAACTGGAACTGGTACTAGAACAGGTGCTAGTCTACTAGAACTGGAACTGGAACTGGTACTAGAACGGGATTATACTGTCATCTGGAATTTTATATTGGCAGTTCAGCTAGGGGTCCGAACTTTTGACTCCAATTTCATTAATATATTTTTGACAATTCTGTTGTCTCTCGATGATTAATATTCTTGCTGCAATTTCTGACTCTTTTGCTCTGTCTTTTTTTTTTTCTTTTTTTCTTTTTTTTTTCGGGAAGCTGTGACATCTAGTAGATTAGGATCATTAACGTTGATGCCAACAGATGTAGTTAGAGAACGAATATATCATGAAATGTTGATGCCAACAGATTTGGTTAGAGAAGGAATAACGTTGATGCCAACAGGTTTAGTTAGAGAAGGAAGGAATGTGGTTTTTTTTTTTTTTTTTTTTTGGGTGGAAACATCGCCATGGAAGGATTGCCTGTTGATGCAGAGAAGGAATATCTTAATACTTCCGTCCCCTCGTCAGGCACACATTCCATCTCATTTGTTCCTGCTGACAGGGATGCTGTGACCGTCTTTTTTCTTTCCTTTTCTTTTCTTTTTTTAACGAGGGGTAGCCCCTTACATTTTTGGTATCCACTCGTCTGATTAAATCGGGAATTGAGCTCATGATCTGTTTACTTGCAGTTGCATGGGCATTATATTAGTAGTATACAGTACTATACAGTGTATACACCATTAACTGACTCTTTTTTTTTTTTTTTTTTGATACTGGAATTAAGCCGCAGGGATGGATGCTCTGAGCTGTTTATCGCCCTTCCAGGAGTTCTGATGCCTGCTCTTGCATTGTTGTTCCCTTTGGAAAAGGAGGAGAGCGGGGGGGGAAGGGGGGGGGGGGGGGGGGGGGGGGGGGGGGGGGGGGGCAGGTAGATGTAATGGAGGGGTCTGTCCCTTTTTCTTTTCGTGGAAAGGAGGGGTGTGTCTATTATGGGATGGTCGAGATCTTGCAACTGCCAAGTGTATGGGAGAGAAGTAGAAGGTGGATTTATTTGCTCCTTTTATGAACGATTGAAAAGAAAGGAGCAAACACTGCCAAACTGGATGGCTGAGAGGGTCGCCAGGGCCCACCTGCCGAGTTGAGGGAGAAGCTTGGTGGTGAAGCCGCCTGAGGACGACCGCGTGGCGGCGGTCAAAACTGGTCGACGACCACGTAGCAGCGGTTGAAACCGGTCGACGACCGCGTGGCGGCGGTCGAAACCGGCCGGCGTAGCCACTCCCACCGGAAACTCGCAGTAATTGTTGATCTGGAACTGTATTTGGCTACACTTTTGTGTATGCTAATAACTTGGCTACGCTTTTGTGTATGCTAACTTGGCTACGCTTCTGTGTATGCTAACTTGGCTGCGCTTTTGTGCATGCTAATAACTTGGCTACGCTTTTGTGTATGCTAATAACTTGGCTACGCTTTTGTGTGTGCTAACCTGGCTGCGCTTTTGTGTATGCTACATACTTCTACGTGACGTTGTTGAGTGTTTTGACTTGACTTCACACATCCTCACACCATAACCACCTGCCGAGGTCACCCAGGCAAGCCAAAAAAGTGCTGGTGGTCCTCCCCCCCCCTTTCTCAAAAGCTCTTGCTGGCTTCCACCAAGTTGTGCCCCAATCCGGCATTATCTTTGAATTTGCTGATGTCTTACCCTAGGGGGTCTGGAGGGTCTAAATGGGGTTAAAAAGAGGGTCGGAGGGGCCATATATGTATGGCCTTTTTTGTCTTTCAATTTAAACCACCAGTACTTGGCCCATACATCGGCCGCGGGCCCTTAGCGTTAACGCTACGCGTTTCCCGCGCCTCGGCAAAGGCTTGGCATGGCGATGGGGGAGGGAGCTGGTGGCCCCATGGAAACAGGGCAAAAGGGCTGCACGATGTCCTGGTGGTGTGCTATCTGGAAACGCGCGGACAGTGGTAGCAAGGAGGCAAAAAAACAAAAAAGAAAACGGACGAGGAAAAAGTAAGATAGATGGTTGCTTTCCTTTCTTTTCTTTTTTTTTTTTTTTGGGGGGGGGAAGAATGTACCTGGCTTCACTTCTGCACGGCGTTATATGAATCTTAGGGCAATCACGTTCAGATGCTGGTTTCCCGTTTCCCCCTTCTCGTTTTTTTTCTTTTTTTTTCTTCGGTAATCAGATCGTTGGCTGTTTCTGCACTTGCTCCCGGTGAGAGACTGGGAGCATTCAATGCCTCAGGTTCCAGAGGGAGTGTGACGTTGCAACTTCGACGCATGTATCTGGCTTCACCGCTGCACGGCGTTGTATGAATCTCAGGCCAATCACGTTCAGATGCCTGTTCCCGTTTCTCCCTTTTCGTTTTTTTATTTTTTTTATTTTGATAATAAGATAGTTGGCTGTTTCTGCACTTGCTCCCCGTGAGAGACGGGGAGCATTCATTGCCTCAGGTCCCGGAGGCAGTGTAACGTTGCAACTTCGACGCATGTATCTGGCTTTACTGCTGCACGGCGTTCACGTTTCTCTCTCTTTTTTTTTTTTGGCTTTTATTTTTTTGGAAGAAGATCCTTCACGGGAGCATTGAATGTGTGAGTGGAAACAAGAAAACGATGGCCTGTTTACGTTCCATCTGCTGGCAGCAGGTCTAAAGGAAGGGGCGGTACCTGCTTGCAGCAGCAGATGTCCCGTATTTTTTCCCACTCCCCGCAGGCTCGGCAAAAATTGGCGCGCAGGGCATATTCAGGCTCGGCTTCAATAGCTGGGCCAAGTACTGGTGGTTTAAT